AGAGAGTTGGGGTTGTTCAGCCTGGAGAAGAGAAGGCTCCAGGGACACCTTTGAGCAGCCTTCCAGTACCTAAAGGGGATCTACAAGAAAGCTGGAGAGGGGCTTTTTACAAGGGTGTGTGGTGACAGGACAAGGGGCAATGGCTTTAAACTGAAAGAGGGGAGATTTAGATTAGATATAAGGAAGAAATTTTTCACTGTGAGGGTGGTGAGGCACTGGACCAGGTTGCCCAGAGAAGTTGTAGATGCCCCATCCCTGGAAGTGTTCAAGGCCAGGTTGGATGAGGCTTTGGGGAACCTGGTGTAGTGGAGGGTGTCCCTGCCCATGGCAGGGGGGTTGGAGCTAGATGATCTTTGAGGTCCCTTCCAACCTAAACCATTCTATGATTCTATACGTGTAAAATAGCCCAAGGTGAGATCGAGCCTCACTGGGCAAGAGCTGGGTAGTGCAGTCCTTAGCCCTCTGTATGTCCACTGGGACTACTGTCTTCTTTGGGATCTGTTTTATAAAATAGACTGAGGAATGCTGAAAAAGCAAATTTTGATGCTTCTTCAAGTTCAAGATATTTGCATACAGCCATGTTCCTCATATCTTCCTATCCCTATACCTAGGCTCCAAGTAGAGGTGCACTGAAATGCCACTGACTAAAAGCTTAGTTCATAAATAGATCAGGTGCCTACTAAATAATGTGAATGAGGTCCCTCTTTCCATTAACACCCATGCTCCTGCTGCATGGGATTTCTTGGACAAGTAGCGCTGCTGCTGAGCATGCTGTTTGGCTGAGTCACCAGACTGACACATGAGCTGTTAGTACAGGACTTTACATTTCCTAGAGACAATATTATTTAAAGTCCAGCAGCAGCCGAAGAAATACTTTCATTGTAAGACGGATACGAAGGGTATTGAAAAGGTAAAGGCGTATCAGACTTTGGTGCCTTCTACGTGACATTGTTCAGATCCAAATCTTTACATCCAGAGCACTTAGATCTGGATCAAATCACAAGATACAACAAATTTGTTTGTCATTTTGAGAATAAAATCTTCATGAGATTTCTGTTGGAGTTTTGGACTGTTTCTAAAATTTCTTTTTCATTCAAAAGTGAAAAATGTGTGAAACAGCTTAATTGCTGTCAGGAAAGAAAACTTGTACATACCATATTGTTCAGGCCCAGTTTACAGCTACTTGGATAGGAACACATTGATAAGGATCTACTATAAACCCACTTAGTCACGTCAGGAAATGACACTGAATTCAAGTAATATACACACAGAACCAGGAGTTTAGATACTGGACGTGACTGGTTTTGCTCAAGAAGGTACTGTGAAGGTAAGAACATGGATATCTAGACAGGTATCACACATTGTATCGTGCTAAGAAAACAAGAAAAGCATTCACAGAAAGAATTGATGTTCCTTTTTAAATCAGCTAAGAAAATTTAGCTTTGCTTTTTCCTTCTCTCTAGCTGGGACTCATCTTCTCCCTCACAGTACAGAGTGAAGTAGAGCTGGAGGCATCCTTTGGTGTATCAGAGGCCACTGTGGTGTTGACACCAGCACTTCATGCCAGGAAGAAGACTGTGTGGCTGGAGGGATCCTCCTAGATCCATGACGTTGCTAGAGGCAAATCTTTTCCAGTTGTACAGCATGGCCTTTCCAAGTGGGATTCCCTTTTTTCATGCAAGTCACCTAATCTGAAAAGATAACATGAAAACAGGTGGCAAAGGGTAATCTCTAGCATGACCTGTTGTGTATTTCCTCTTCACAATAACTTGTTTTCATGCTTTCTCCTAGTACTTTATTAATTTGTATTTATACTGGTACTACAGTATCTTCTGCCTCTCATCCTATGGTTGTATATTGCTTGCCAGCAGAACAAAAACGTGTTTCTAGTTTCTCCTCTTCACTTAAAAAACACAGTGTGCCTCAATTCTTTTGCATAACATCTCACAAATCCAAAAGTATGTCTCATAGGTCCTAACGTACAAAGGCTCCCCTTCCTTAGGATCCGTGCAGTCTTAGTCTATGAGAGATGTAACACACAGGACTGTCAGACAGCACATGTGCTTGTCCTTTGAAGACAAGGGGAAAATCTCAGCCTAGTTTGGCCAGAAACATACCTGCTGTGAAACTACTAGATGGAAAGAAGGGCATAAATGGCCAGTGGAGCCTTCACCTTGTCCAGTATTTATAGTACTGCAACAAAGGTGACTAACTCCCTTTGGCAACCTCCCAGTTCGTAAGGATCATTTGGATTTTCCCTATTGTGCTCCATCAGTGCTCACCGTTTTCTTGGGTATCACAGCAAATCGGTGTAGATCACTGCATGGGGCCCCATGACTTTGGTCTGTACTGGTCTTCCCCAGAATGGGGCATGGCAGCTGGTCATGCCCCTCTGTTTTACCATACAGACTCCTTGGCTTGCACAGTTTTAGCTTAATTTAGCACTTTCTGGCCCTATCTTGCTCCGTTTCCTTGGTTGCTGTAGTTCAGCAATTGCCCTTATTGACCTCCAAAGCAGTTCTTCTCACCCAACCATGCCTTGGCCAATATCTCTTACACCTGTTTTATTGCTCTGTAGGCTGCAAGTGAGAGAGAACTGCAGATCTGAAACATGCTGGAGGGATCTAGCCCCAGGTTAAAGAGGAGTCAGAGAAATATGAAAAAGTATAGAAATTGCTTCTCACAGGACTAACCTGTGGTGGACAGAGAGAATTCGGTTGAGACTTTCCTGACATTTTTAGGACGCTAATCTTTTGGCACAATTCTCATATCCATTTAATCCAGTTCAGTATCGCTGTCAGTTGGAAACCGATTTAACTAGTGATATGAGAATCCTTACCAAACAGCCTAATCTCTGAAAGTAAATCACTGCTTCCTGGAACAACCACAGCACCAACACACGGCCACAAAGGTGCCTTGGGAGTGTTTGGGAAGATGTCGGTAGCCAGTCCGGAACAGTGCTATGATCTGGATCTACTTATCCGGATGTCTGGATGTACCCTGTGAAATGAAAATACTCAGTAAATCACTTCCTTGGCATTGATTTGGAAGTTCAGGAAGAAAGATCAAATTGCACAGCACACACCTTTGGTGTAAACCAGAACTCATTTGGTATAAATTCTGAAATTGCGTGGGGTTAGAACAGACAACCGCAACGAAAATGAATCTTCAAGTGAGTCTCACCTGGTTGCTTCTGTTGAGTGCTACTCTTCTATCTGAACCAGGTACTGCATCTAAATTTTTTTTCATACTTGCACAAAAATGTTACAGACAGAATTAGTTACTAAACAGCTGGCTGGGAAGTGGCAGCAAAGTGTCTCCTAGAATACTGCTGAAAAGCTTTGTACCATAGAATTGATGGTTTAATTTGTCTTCTAATTCAAAGATTCAGATCTTAGGTTATATTTCAAAATGTAACTCATGAATGTTATAGACTAAAGAAAGCTAAAGAATATTTTCTTTGTTTCTCTTCTGTACGGGGAATAGTCTGGGGAAGTTGCTCTCCAAAAGTTCTTCTAATATTCTAGTTTCAAATTTAAATTCTTCTATACTGTGCATTAAAAATCTCAAGAGAGAAAAAGAAACATGGAGCAGCCTGCCAGACCCAAGAGGAAATATACTTTACTGCAGTGTCATGTTCCTTCAAATTTCAAAGAAAAATAACCCCAAACCTTCCTTATAATCTTGCTAGTTTGAATGAGATCCTTTGATTTTTAATTGTCAGCATGGGCACCATGAATAAAGTCTTGTCAATCCCTTACAAAAAGACTTAATTTCATCAAGTGCAGATTAAGGGGTTGGCTATGTTGGATGATTTATAAGACAAGAGCAAACGCAGCCCAGAAGGAAGTTCAGCTTCAAAGAGGGCTAAGCTGTATTTCAAGAAGGTGATCAAATCCCAGCACTTCAGCAACCCTAGAATCTTTGTTCTTACTCAATAGGTTCACTTTTGGGTTTGGTTTGACCTGATGTAGGCTGGATTAATTTTAACTGGAAGAATCACTTAGGATCGTGTCTTGTAAACCCAAGACTTTAGTATCTCTGCTATAGTCACAAGAGTAAAAGTCTGTGAAAGTGAGTGTCTTTTTTTGAAAAACAAAGAAAAAAAAATCCCAAAATGAAACTTCTCCTGGTTCTAGTGATTGAATCAGGCACAGGTCTTCAGAGCATGTTAATTCTGAAAGAGCATTTCAAAACGCTCTTATTTTCAAAAGCTGACATTTGAAAACATTGCTTTGACTCCTGGCAGCCTAAATCCTTTTTTCTTTCAGTGAATATATGTAGATTTTCAAAGGTATTTTCATGATTTGTAATTTTAGTCACATGAAGTGTATGATCACACTACATGTTTGTATCAAGCTTTGGAAGATCATTTCATCCTCTGGTATGTGAACCATGATGGCATGGTCCAGTTTAATCAAACATACATTTTATAATACCTTCAGTGGTATATAGTATGTTCTTCACTCTGGAGCTAGACAAAGTTGGGCTTCCCATGCAGACCCCAGCACACGTTTGCAAAGAGAGTGGTTTAAGCTAACGTGCTGTGCTGTCAGTCAAAGCAACTGTCATGGTCTGCAACAGAGAGATGGTCCACAGCCTCCCTTGCTATTGTGGCAACCACGTATGGCAAAGATAAGTAACCCTTTCTACTGCCCCAGTGAAATTTGGCAGAGCTCAGCTTCCAGAAGTCCACGTCTTCACTAGAGGTGAAGGATGTACATAAGGATTTCTGGGGTCGGATCCTTTGGCTCTCTGTGCTGTCATGAAGTAAGGTCCTCTATAGTCATCTTCCACTGAACTACGAGGAAATGAGCAAGTCCTTCCAGACATGAGGAGGAACCACAGGATTACTTCGAAAACACACCACATGCCAACACTTACTGTATCTAATTCTGTATCAACACATACCAGGTACCATCTCACAGCAAAACATAAAACATACCTAGAATTGTGATATGTTACATCAATGCTAATGTGGTTTTTTTTATCTGCCACAGCAAGTGGTACCTGGTGGCACTCATCAGGAGGCTCAAACTCTGGAGGTCACAACTCAATATGGAAGAAAATTACAAAATGGATAAAAGACAAATTTAAACCCAAAGGTAAGAGGATGAAACATGCTCCTGTGTGTGAACATACCTGGCACACTGGTAGTGTTACACAAGCCAGCTCTGCGTGAGCTGGTTATCTCCCTGGCTTAGGTAATGATAACCTACCCTGATAGTTCAGGTCCTGTATGCAGCAGAGCCACGTGAACAGGGCTGAGTTAACTGCACTGATTTGGGCTCCGCTGTTCAGCTCCCTGCCCTGTACTGCTTTGCACACTGCAAGCATTCCCCAGTAAGCCCCGGGTACTGGGGACACACCAACACTGGGCAGCCCATCCCTGCACAGATGAAGATGCAAGCTTAGACATAAGAAGTTTAGATTTCCTGGGGATAAACAAATTGAGATGTTTACCTGTCAATTGTTACTTTTGTTTCAGAACATCCCAAACTGCGACTGGTGTCTGGAGGGGACCGCTGCGCCGGGAGGGTTGAGGTTTACCATGATGGCAAATGGGGGACGGTCTGTGATGATTACTTCAGTAAGAAGAGTGGCAGCGTTGTATGCAGACAGCTTCATTGTGATCGAGTTGTTGCTGTCTTGGGAAACTCTTACTTTGGCCCTGGCAGAGGACACATCCACCTGGATAATGTGCAGTGTAGAGGAACCGAATCTTATCTTTGGGACTGTCGGCATGCTGGCTGGGGAAAACATAACTGTGGACACAACGAGGACGTCAGCGTCATCTGTTCAGGTGAAAAAAAAAAAGTTATGCACTCTTAAAAATCCCTTTGGATTTTCCTGTTGACCATAAGCAGACTTTGGAAATCAGACTAGAGTTGAACTGTGTGCATGTGGAGACTCCTTGTATTTAGGCTGGTCTGCGTGATTGAGGAGCAAAGGGATGTCCTGGACAAAATACCAGCAAGCACTGGGTATGAAAATGGCAAAAAGAAGCTAGTTCAGGACCGCTTTAGTCAACATCTGACTAAAGGCCATTCCCAAGATAGGAAAGGCAACCAGTTAAAAGGAGATAGAAGCATATCTAGATGTGAACCAGGCATGTCTGAATTGAAAATAAAAATAAATACTTTTGGCATAAACATACCTGAAATCAAAGATTACTGTCCTGGTTTTGACTGGGACAGAGTTAGTTTTTCTTTCTAGCAGCTGGAAGAGCTCTGTGTTTTGGTCTTAGTCTGGGATGCGTTTCAAGAAGAATGTTGACGGTGCACTGATTTTTATAGTTGGCACTGAGACCTTAAGGACTTCTCAGCTTCTTGCTAAACAACTACAATTGCATAGCTAGAAGCAGCCTATTTTGAAGAAACGTATATAACTGCACAATAAAGGTAAATTTCTGCTTTTTTTTTATGTTCACAGATGCAGTACGCTCCACGGCTGCAGTGACAGGTAAGGCAGGGCTCTTGAGACATCAGTCCATTAGCTCTTCACAGTCTCTCCAAGTGCTCAGAGACAGTTTCTTAACTCGAAAACAGTGTGATTACAGCTCCTTGGAAGACAGTATTCTAGAAAGATACCTGCTCCAAATTACTAGTTATTGCTTCAAATCACCATTTATTCATCCACTGTAACATTATTTCTGTTCTTTGGATTGATCAGAGGAACTGTATTTGCCACTCATCTACTAATTAGGGAAAATATAAGGCAAGCCTTAGCACTCTAGGTCTAAGTTTCTGACTCATGTTGGTTTTTTTTTTCCTGTTCCTGAAATAATCATAGCACCCTAGAAGTCTTAAAGTACAGACTTCAGTCACGTTTCCTGAGGTTTTTCAGTGTTGAGTTAATTACTAACGCTCTTCATAATACAGAGCCTCAGAGGAGTGGACGCTAAAATGCAATTTTCGATCGTATGTAGCCCAGAAGTGAAAGAGAAACCCAAAATCATTTCTTCTCAAGACTTGAACCTGCAAAAACACATTATAGCAGTCCTGAACTGTTGCTGTATACTCTGCGCATCTATTTCTGCACTGATGGCACCACTGGCAAATATCTCTGAAGTTCATTTAGAACGGCCATTAATCGACAGGAATGTCACTCGCACTATCAGAACTTCAGGTCTGGTGCGTTAACCCAGCACTGCACAAAATCTGATGTTTAAATTATTTCACCAGTGTCTCAGTTCTCATGACTGTCCTTACAGTCCTCTAATTTATTTCCTCTAACTTCCAGCATCCTCAAAGAAGCCCCAAACTTCCACTCCTACATCAACATTTTCCACAGGCAGCACCGTTGTGACATCTACCACAGAACTTCTGACTTCTACTGGCAAAGGCAAGGGCAAAAAACAAACTGCAAATGTCATGTGTGGAAATTTTGAGTAATTTATGCAATTTGTTTAGAGCAGACAGGAGGAATACTGGGAATTGAGTAAAAATATTTATTAACTCTGCATCTGATTAGCCTTGGAAGAGCCAATGACCAACACCATCTTCATTTTCATACGAAAATGTGGTTGGAGGGAAAATGGGCATGTGATTAAGTCTACCTGCATGTACAGTTATCAAAATGGCATATATGTAAGGTGAGATCTTTACAATTGGTTCATCTAAGGCACTCTTACCTAGATATTTTCTTCACCTTAAATTCTTTTAATAATCTTTCTTAATTTTTCCTGGTTCTTAAGATAGTGCAAAGGTAGAATGAAAAAAGGTGTGTTTATACCCTGTTGAGAGGTGCACCAGTGGCATCAGTCTCCCAAGTTCACTTAGAAGAACATCTTCCCATTAGTAATTATGAGTCACATTACCAAAAATTAAAGTCCAAGGAACTGACTTTCTTTTCCATGAAGCCTGAAGTATTAATCATTTCACAGATCCTTGAAATGTCTCTTCTTTCACATGGTAGTGTTTCTGTTCAATAACACATTTCCTCACCCTCTGGCCACCTCCACAGATTCCTCCTCTGCACCCAGCTCAAGCCCAGCAGGGACTGAGATACTGTCTGTTCCAGGGACCTTGACAACCCTCAAGGACTGTGAGCACACCTGTGTGCTGAAAGTCACTTCCAAAGCACAAGACAAATCTCGGTCTTTATTTCCGCCAACAATGGCCACTTTGCATCTTTCCAAAAGACCATTGCATCTTTCCAAATGACTATTGCATCTCTAGTAGTAAAAGAATGCAGTCAGAAATACCTACTATCTTTATTACCTTTTTTTTCAGCCCTATTTCTGAGCCATGTCATGGATGTGGACAGACTCTCCTTTCCACAAAGCCTGAAGGCAATTAAATTCATCAAGAGCCAATTTATTGCAGTTATTCAGCCTCACCTGAATGCTCTCTCTCCCTCTCATTTCTGTGGTTCTTTCTTCTTCTCGCAGCCTCTGAAAATACTCCAGAACCATCCATTTCACCAACCCCACTTACAAGAAATGATGGTACCTCAGCTCCAGGAGTCCTTTCCACAGCTGACGGTAGGAACAGATATTGTGCCGTAAAATCTAATAATAACAGTGTTGAAAATTGTTTATAATCAATTACATTGGTAAGATTACAATAACTGTACAAAATTTAAGATCAGTCAATTGCTAATTAATCATCTCAGTGAAGATAGAATCCAGCTTCTAAAATCTTTGTTTTTAAAATATTGGGCTATCAAAGATTGGGAGACATGTAATTATGAACAATATGGGGCTTTAAGCTGCTTGCACTTTTTGAAT